CCAACTAAAGCCCTTTCCTTTATAAATTACCCAGAAATGGCCCCATGAAAATGAATATGAATTCATATACAAAAATATGTAAAAAATAACATTAAAAACAAATAAAATTACCTTCTAAGTCTTTCTTAAAAACTACATTTTAACTTTCCCTCCAACAATGTATATTCACATGTGAGATATCCAGATTTGTATGAAAGTCAAAAATGCCAGATAAGTAAACAAAATAACCTTTTTTAGTAAGACAATCATTAAATAATTTGTAAGCATGTGAGTAATAAAATGAACCCCTAAGATATTTCAAAGCATTACTTTATAACAATAAATAAATATGGCTAATCAATTTTTTTTTTTTTTTTTGAGACGGAGTTTCACTCTTGTTACCCAGGCTGGAGTGCAATGGCACGATCTCGGCTCACCGCAACCTCTGCCTCCTGGGTTCAGGCAATTCTCCTGCCTCAGCCTCCTGAGTAGCTGGGATTACAGACATGCGCCACCATGCCCAGCTAATTTTTTGTATTTTTAGTAGAGACGGGGTTTCACCATGTCGACCAGGATGGTCTCGATCTCTTGACCTCATGATCCACCCGCCTCGGCCTCCCAAAGTGCTGGGATTACAGGTTTGAGCCACCACGCCTGGCGGCTAATCAAATTTTTAATTTGATTAAGAACATCAGCACTGCGCTTGATGTTCTTAATTGGATGTTGATTCTTTGTTCACTTCTAAACTCCACAGATGAAGGAAGGAAGACTATAAATTTGAAAGCTAAACATGTTTTATTTTACTAGTAAAATCACAATGCATAGACTTTATATATTAGCATTAATACAGTGTTCCTGAAAATTTCACTAACTCATCACATTGTGAAACGTTGATTATATGATCACAAATTTTGTTTCATCACTAAGAAATATTAATAGCATCATGCCTGCTCATTTACAACATAGATGTATCACTACTCTGCTTAAATCTTTATCTAGCCTTGCCTTATTCCTCATTGAAAATCTATCTCTGGGTAAAACTGAAAAGAGATCCCACATACTACTGGAGAATAAAAGTCATAATGAACAAATTAGTATTGTAACCTTAGTAAGTGCTGTTCTCTAGAACTACAGTACTGATAACATAGGCTTCTGGTCCCTTGATTATCTATCACTGCTTAAAATTCTACACATCCCCATCCCATTCAGGAAAGCCCACAACATGCAAATAAGTGAGAGTAGCATTAACTCTTTATAATAATACCTAGCCTGAAACACAAACACATTGTACAGCTGTAAAAAAAGTATTTTCTTTTATTATATTTTTATTCTATAAGCTTTTTTCCTATTTTTAAATTTTTTTAAAGACAGGGTCTCACTCTGTCACTCAGGGTAGAGTACAATGGCATAATCACTGCTCACTGAAGCCTTGACCTCCTGGGCTCAAGCAATCCTCTCACCTCAGCCTCATGAGTAGCTGGGACTACAGGGATATGTCACCATGTCCTGCTAATTTTCCTATTTTTTTGTAGAGACAGGGTCTCACTATGTTGCCCAGGCTGGTCTCAAACTCCTGGGCTCAAGGGATCCTCCTGCCTCAGCCTCACATCTGTATTCCCACCTACTTGGGAGGCTGAGGCAGGAGGATTCCTTGAGCTCAGGATTTCAAGACTGCAGTGAGCCGCAATCACGCCACTGCACTCCAGCCTGGGTGACAAAGTGAGATTCCATCTCATAAAAGTTTAAAAAACAAAATCTAAGACACTCTACACAGAGACAGAATCATCAACAGCACTGTCTTCCACCTCCACATCTTGTGCCACTGGAAGGTATTCAGGGGCAATAACATGCATGGGGCTGTCCTCTCTTAAGATAATGATGCTTTCTTCTGGAATTCCTGCTGAAAAATCTCTCAAGTTGTTTTATAGTCAACTCTTTTTTTATAAGTAGACGGAGTACACTCTAAAGTAATGCTAAATAGTATAGTAAATATACAATCTAGTAACATAGTGGTTTATTATCCATTTTATATGACTAGAAATACTGCAGGCTTACTTCACACTAGCATCACCACAAACATTGTGCTATGACATTAAGATGGCTACATCACCAGGTGACAGGAAATTTTCAGCTCCATTACAATCTTGCAGGGCCACTGTCATATATGCAATCCATCACTGACCAAAACATCATTATGCAGCACATGATAGTACTGATTTTCCTATACATACATACCTATGATAAGATTTAACATAAAATTAGGCACAGTAAGAGATTAACAATAGCTAACAATAAAACAGAACAATTATCGTAACATATTGTAACAAAAGTTATGTGAGTGTGCTCTCTCAAAATATCTTCTTGTACTATACTCACCTATTTTCAGATCTTGGTTGATCTTGGGTAACCGAAACCTTGGAAATCAAAACTGCAGATAAAGGAGTACTACTGTATAGTGGACTAAGAAGACATACTCATTTGTTTCTTCCTTTGGTCAGTCATTTGTTATTTTAATGTTGATTGTATCTGAAATTATATCTTGTACATACATCATTATACAGTCTGCTAAGAACAACAGTGGGCAAATTAGACTTCTGTTTATACTTTTTTTGTAAAAACATAAATTTTTTAGGAAGTCAATAAATGGCAATTTAAATGTTACCTTTCACCATTTTGCAAAATCGTCTAATATATATATAACTATTATCCTCAGCAAATTAACACAGCAACAGAAAACCGAATACTGCAAGATCTTACTTACAAGCGGGAGCTGAACAAGGAAAATACATAAACACACTGAGGGGAACAACACACACTGGGGCCTGTGGCAGGGGACCAGGAGGTAACAGAGGAAGGAAGAGCATCAGGAAGAATAGCTAATGGATGCTGGGCTTAACACCTAGGTGATGGGTTGATCTGTGCAGCAAACCACCATGGGGCACACGCTTACCTATGTAACAAACCCATACATCCTGTACATGTACCCCAGAACTTAAAAGTTGCAGGAAAAAAAAGTAATACTTTTAACACAATCTTACAATGTCCTTTATAAATTTCAAAGTGTTTTCACCTCTGTTTAACTTCACTGTATCTCCCCCAACCAGAAAAACTGACAGACAGCTCTGTTTACGTAAACAAATTTAAAAATGTGTTCTTTATGAAGCTCATACACTAGACACATACAAAAATAAATAGAAAGAAATATGCAAAGCAAAGGGATCCAGAAAGTGACTACATATAAAAACAAATTCCTTTCATGGTGCAACAGTGACAAGAACATGAAGACTAGAGAGATTTAAGTCAAACTCTAACTTTACCATTCTTTCAGGCCCCAATATCCTCACCTATAAAATAGAAGAAACACCATCTCAGAGTTGTTGTGACGATGTCTATAAAATGCCTGGCAAATTAAATAGGGATTGCATTTTAGTTCCTTTCCCCTTTCACAATATGATTAATTTTAAATGTTCAGACATGTATACATAACATCTTCTTTAAATAGAGCTCACCTACTGTTATGAATTGAACTGTATCCTCCTAAAACTCATACGTTGAAACCATAAATCCCAATTTGACTATATTTGAAGAGAGAGCCTTTAGGAGCTAATTTAGGTTAAATGAAGTCCTAAGAGTCAGATCCTAATTCAATAGGATTGGTGGCCTTTTAAGAAAAGGAAGAAAGAATGAGATTTCTTTTTACCTCTCCACATGTGTACAAGAGGTCATGTAAGCACATAGCGAGAAGCCAGCTACCTACAAGCCAAGAAAATAGTCCTCAGCATAGAACCTAATTTGCAGGCACCTTGATCTTAGACTTCCCAGCCTCCATAACTGTGAGAATTACATATCTGTGGTGTAAGTCACCCAGTGTCTGGTGTTTTATTATGGTAACTTGAGCAGACATGATACATCCACAGCTTTTTTCTTATCTAAACAAAGAGAATACCACAGTTTAAAGAAGAACAGGTAAGGATGACATAAAAAAGGCTGTAAAATATTTTATTTTTCCAGTTCACCTATTACATTTTAAATAATAAAAGGGCTATGGATTTAAATGTGAATTGTTTGTTTGATCAATTTTCCACCTGCCCCTGAGAAATAACTTTTTATTAAAGCTTGGTATTAAACCATTGATTCATGGAACCTCACACATATTCTAGAACTTTCAAGTATTTAAAAACTATAATAGAACTGCTAACAAAATCTTTTCAAAAATCTGTAACACCTATCATTTTTTGAAATCTTGAGAAAAATTAATGAATGGTAAAATTAAATTTATTTTTCTAAATCAAATTCAGCATTCTCACGTTACCTAGCTTAGTGTCTAATACATGAATGAAGCTCAATAAATATTCTGAATAAACATTACAGCCAATAATCTAACGCAAAATGCTCAATCCTGACAAACCTGTTTCAAGGATAACTGCATAACATGGGAAGGAATTGCAAGAATTTTGAAATATTGATTCTTTAAAAAGAAATCTTTTAACTTTCAAAAAGTATAAGCAATTCTACATTTTTCTTTTAAAGAGATAAGAGACAACATAAACCAAAAATCTACTTGCCTAAATTGTTTATATGAGCTTTGGGAATATATTATTAATTACAGACAATTCAGTGAAACTTAGTGGCAACCACACAATCACTAATATCTGTAAGTATTCGGTTTTTACACAAAATAGGGCTACAAACCTGTCAGACACCCAGCAAGAATAAGGAGAAATCCCTTGTTTATTATGCAAAACTCATATAGGACATATTATTTATAGGTACAACATTAAAAAAAAGGAAAATCAATCTACTTAAATATGTTAACTCTAAATAAGAAAATCAGATCTAACTCCTGTTTCTCCATACCAGGCACAATTATTTTCAAAGTTATACAATATGAAGGTTATCAGTCTTAACTGTTTGCCCTAACATCATTATGTATTTTCTCTTTTAAAAATGGCAATAACAAGTGACACATGCTCTAATAAAATCTAGATCACAGATAGCAAATGACAGGCTATGAGATTCAATCACTTTTAATTATTATTAAGTTTGTGTTAGTCTTTATTAAAAACAAAAAAATAATTAAAATTTAAGACAGTGATGTACATGATATATATAAAAGAATATAACCAAAAAAGTACATTTCTACCACCCTACCACAGCAGAAATTTCAATGGGTTATCCTATACCAAATCCAAGTGTTTACATCCAAGGTGTCACAGAGGTAGCTTCCTTTTGTACCTAAAGTAAAAATAAATCCATTTAATAGAAGATAATAAGATACGAGTTCATTTGTGAATTGCCTAACAGCTCTAGTGTATTAAAATTCTAACCTAAGACATACATATACTGTACACCAAAAGAAACTGGCTGGCATATAGAGCAGGTAATGTCTACTTTGTAAATGAGAAAAAAAAGGCAACATTTAACGACAGACCTTATGAAGTCTCAAATAGAGCTAAAGGTTTCCTGCTTTTGATTTTTTTATATCTTTATAAAGATATAAAGTCTGTAACTGCCACTCTGTTTTAATAGGCACTTAATACCATGATAACTTGAAAGTTTATAATAGGTAGAGTAGTCCAAATCTGGTTTCCTCTACTCTACAAAAGTGACACTTCATTGCAATACCACAGCACTGAACAACAGTTGTTTCACCCAACCAAAAGGATTAGTCAAAAAGTAAGATAGAAAATAATGAATTTGCCAGGCATGGTGGCTCATGTCTGTAATTCCAGCACTTTGGGAGGCCGAGGTGGACGGATCACGAGGTCAGGAGATCCAGACCATCCTGACCAACATGGTGGAACCCTATCCGACTAAAAAATACACAAATTAGCTGACATGGTGGCATACGCCTGAAATCCCAGCTACTTGGGAGGTTAAGGCAGAAGAATCACTTGAACTAGGGAATCGGAGGTTGCAGTGAGCCGAAATCACACCACTGCACTCCAGCCTGGCGACAGAGAGAGATCTGTCTCAAAAAAAAAAAAAGAAAAGAAAAGAATGACTTAAACCATTGCTCAAAAGTCAAAATCCTCAAGATTCAATACAGTAATAATATAACTATGCTCTAATTTTAGTTTATTTTGTGCTTGGGTTTATATAAAAATTGCTTCAAAAAATATTCAAGTTTCTACTTACACAGCATACAATATTACAGATGACAACTTTGAGGTTGGCCTTTTCTAGGACTTAAACTCACTTCTTTCCGTGGAAAGACTGTAAAGGGTCCCTATCTGCTTGTAATTAAAAAGGGATGAAGTCAAAGCAGAAGCTATTCAATAGCTGTCCCTCAGAACTGTTGGGGCATTTTTAATAAAGAAAATATAAATAGCAATTTGCTGAGGTTAATTTTTTAAATAATCACAGAGAACAGAGTCAAGGGTTTTCTTACATTTATGTACCTAATTAAAATAAATGTCAGCATACCATTAAGAAAACAATGAATAAAATTACTGCTTTTCAGTTACCTTATTGAGCTCTGGAAACAGCTCCTGTATCACAATGTCCAATAAAACATAAGTAAGCTAAAGCACCAAAAATAATAATAAATGTTAAGGCACTGAACATAAAAACCATAAAAATGATGAACACAAAATTAAAGATTGTGGTGACATCTAAGTGCAAAGGCAGGGAACAGCACTGATAATATAATACAAGCACAAAAGTAGCCTCAGTAGTATCAATAATGTTCCATTCCCAAAACAGGTAATAAGTACACATGCATTTGCATGAGGACACTTCATCATGCCTCACTAATTCATTTTTATGTTAAATATTTTATATGTAATAAAAATTTTTAGGTAAACAAGAACACAAAATTACAACTGCATTAAGATCTCAACAGAATATATAAAGTTTATATATAGTTTATATAAACCATAAACATAAAAATGTTAACTGGTTATTCCATGTGACTTGAATAATGGAATTACCAATTTTTAATTTTTTACTGTATTTCATGAATTTTCTACATATTCCAAATTTTCTGCAATGACTATGTATTGATTTTAAATCAAAGTAAGAAAAAGGTAACTGACATAAAAAGAGTAACAAATAAAACTTTTTTATCTGAATATTTAAATTATATTGCCTTGATTTAGTGTAGTGTCATTTATAGAGCTAATAATTTACCAGAAACCCTACTATGTCATTCACCAAACTTAGCTAACACAAATGAGTTTTACCTGCTTGTTGAGTACTGGCTGCTGTAAGCCATCAAACAGAAGTCTGATGCTTTCATACTTGGTTTCTTCACCAATACACTTGACTAACAGATCTAAAAAAAAAGGCACACGTGAAATTATTTTATTTTTATAAAGTGACTCACCATTAACTGGATCATAAAGCAAAATCCCCACCCTGTTTCCAGATATTAGGCAAAATCTGACAATCAGTACTCCCCAAACCAATGTTTCTGTTAAGAGGCTCCTGGACAAGAGGTTTCTACGGTCAAGTTGACAAATACAGTATCATGTATCCCATTTTTGGAGATTTACAATACACAAAGCCTAATGCAAACTCTGAGAAATGCCGCAGCAAAAAAAAAAAAAAAAAAAAAAAAAATCTGCTTATACTATTAAATGATAAACGAGAGTTGGAAACTAATACTTATTATATTACCCCACTAAGGGAAAACCAAACAAATTAAACCCTAAAACGATGTTTGCACATTTGTACATACATGTATAGAAAGGCATGGAAAAATGTTTGTACGGATTGACATTCAATTGAGCATAAGCCTACTCCTATACAGTGGGCAGAAGATGGCTTCTGATTTTTATTCTATATATTTTCAGAGTGCTTAATGTCAGAAAAAAAAAGTTTAATTTTTAAGGCAGACTTTTCTCAGTGAATATGAACACCTAATTTCTGGACTTTTGCATAAGTTACTATTAACCATCTTACAGACCAATCATTTTGGGAAATGTAACAAATATTTAAACAATTTTTCAGGGTCCAACAAATTCAGACTTGTGTCTGACTGTATAGATGTCATGTACCACTGATACCAATTCTGTTACCAAGGAAAGTCAATCCTTATTAAGATCTCCACTGACTGTTTTCCCAAGCAGAAAAAAGGTATTCTTAAGCAAACAGCGTGCTCAAATATTTATCCTTTCCCCCGATCATAACTAAACTCCTAGTGTTAGTCATAAAAAATTCCAACACTAGGAGGCAAAGGCCAAATTTAATTTACAATAGGCATAGGACATCCTGGGTATTTTCAAGATATGTGGCCCAATACAAATCTTTGCTAATCCTCAAATTCACCAATACTACATGGAATTTCCCAATTAATATGCATGAAACTAATGAATGAATATAACTGATTCTTTCAGATTCTTCAAGTGTCACCAAGAGTTGAGGAGTAGAGGATAATGGAAAAGCATGCCAAGCTTACTCAAGAGCTAAGTTACTCTCCCAAATAGGAGTCTTAAAGTGAATGTGGTTTGAAAATAAAAAATTATTGTATTCTCTGGCTCTCCATGTTGTTTCTGAGTAACAAAGCTGAGACTGTTTAAAGTATGAATGCTAAGGGTCACTATATCAGAGAACAGGTAAAAAAAAAATTATTTCATCATTTGCCTACAGAAAACTTACTCAAAAACAGCTTATGTTTACTTTTACATTCAGAACAGATATTTAACTTATTTTCACAAGGAACAGCAGAACTATTCTAAGACTAGTTCTTCAAAGTTAAGAATTCTCTAAGGTTCTGTCCTAAGTTCTCTTTTCTTTTTAAAATAGACTTTATGCTTTAAAGTAGTTTTGTGCTCACAATGAAACTGAGCCTGTCCCAAAATATGCTGTCTCCCCCACTATCAACATCTCCAACAAGAGTGCACATTTGTTACAACTGATTAGCATGCATTGTTACCCAGCATCCGTAATTGACACTGGAGTTTGTTCTTAGTGTTGCACATTCTGTGGGTTTGGAAAATAGATCATGTAACCACAATTACAGTATCATAGAGTAGCTTCATTGCCAAAAAATCCTCTTTGCTCTGCATATTCATTCCTCCCTCCCCTCCAATCCATGGTCTTCTTAGTTTTGCCTTTTCCAAAATATCAGATAGTTGAAATTATACAGTACACAGTCTTGTGTACATTTTGTAAAATGAAAACTCACAGTAAATATCAGCTTCAATAATTACTATACATTGTGACCTCAAAGGACTGCTAATCTGTATGAAATTGAGTTATTACACCTGGAATGTAATTCATCATTTCTTCAAAAGTCTGTTTTGCTCCTTTCTGCTTATCTTGGAGAGAGCGAGGTTCAGTGTTTTCACAGAATATAGCATCTAAAAAAAAAAGTAAAAAGAAATACTTCTGGAATTTTCATCTACTTATACACAAAGGATTTCCTCATAGTAGAAATACTAATAAACCAAAGCAAAACAAGATTTCTTTCTCTTTTAGATTCAATTAAAATCATAGAGTACACAAAACATGAAACAAACACATGAGAAAATACAAACCTCGAAGAAGTGTTATGAGTGAGACCAAACGGTGTTCCTGAAACAGCTGTTCTAGTTTACACTGAAGATAGTAATCAGTATACATATCCAGGGTGTTTTTAAAGAGGATTCGAGTTCCCATTAAGAGATGATGAAGCCAGTCAGGAACCTGGAAAACTACACGTCCTGAGAAAGGATAAAATGGGATATCTCATTGTTCCAGATAACATGTAGAAAACACAAAAGACAATGGTCAATATTTTATTTGTAAACACTAGCAACTTTAATATGACCAAGGCCAATTATACTGAATTTTTATATACGGTATCTTCAATTAAAAAAAGAGTTATGATGGGGCAATACTCAAGATGATTATTTGCATCACAGAAGAAGTAAGATGAATGAAAAAAAGTCTTAAAATAAACCACTTAAATCTTACCTACGTACATCAGGTAGTCATAGACTCCTTCTACAGCCATCACCTCCATAAAATAATTCTGATTTTGCTTTCTTTCTGTGTTTTCAGCACGGTTTGCATTATTTTTAAACAGATCATTGAAAAGCTAAAATAAAAGTTGAAATAATAAAGAGATATATAGTTCATTATATCTGCTGACAATAATCACTAAGGATGAAGTGATACACAGCAAAGGCATTTAAACCTTTTCCAATCAAAATAGAATATTAGGTTAATAATGCTTCTAAAATTCCCCATTTATGCCCCAAATTGGACTAAAAAATACATGTTCCCCAAAAATATTACATAAAAACAAAAATATTCATTTTAATTACAGCAGATAATTCATTATCCATAAAAGACCCCCTCCTTTGTTTTTATATACCACAAAAGCAAAGTAACGTAAAAAGATGTACAAATATATTATTGATAGCTAACTTTAAAACTAACATGATTTAGTCCAGGCGCGGTGGCTCACACCTGTAATTTCAGCACTTTGGAAGGCCAAGGAAGGTAGATCATCTGAGGTCAGCAGTTCAAGACCAGCCTAGTCAACATGGTGAAATCCCATCAATACTAAAAACACAAAAAAATTAGCCGGCTGTGGTAGTGCACACCTGTAGTCTCAGCTATTCAGGAGGCTGAGGTAGGAGAATAGCTTGAAAGTGGGAGGTGGAGGTCACAGAGAGCTGAAATCATGCCACTGCACTCCAGCCTGGGGGACAAAGCAAGACTCTGTCTCAAAAAAAAAAATCACCAAACATGATTCAAAGATTATAAATCACTATGAGCAGAGGTAAAAATCCAGCTTTAGGCAAAATTTATTTGGACAATATTCAAAGCCCAGAAAGGCCTAATCAATGTGAAAAAAAAAGACATAAAGAATCAATCATAGTAAAAACGATAAAATGTCACTAAATCTTATACCTACTTACTCCAAAAAGAATCCACTATCAATAATAATAATATATCCTAGGTAACTAATTTTAACAAAAACATTACTTCATTCATTTAAACATCCATTTAATAAATGTACTAAGCACTTTCTATGTGCAGGATGGTATGCCAAGAGCAGGGAATACAAAGATAGATCACTGTTCTCCAAAAAATTTAACATCTAATAGAAACAGGTCAAGAAACAAAATAATGCAAAACAGACACTATGAAACAAGTAAAGGAGGCCAGGCACGGTGGCTCATGCCTGCAACCCAGAACTTTGGGAGGCTGAGGAGGGTGGATCACTTGAGGTCAGGAGTTCAAGACCAGCCTGGGCAACATGGAGAAACTCCATCTCTACAAAAAATACAAAAATGAGCCTGGCATGGTGGCACATGTCTGTAGTCCCAGATACTCAGGAGGCTGAGGCAGGAGCATCATGAACCCAGGAGGTAGAGGTTGCAGTGAGCCAGAGATTGCACCACTGCACTCCAGCCTGGGTGAAAGAGCAAGACTCTGCCTCAAAAAACAAAAAAGAAAGAAAGAAAAGAAGAGTAAAAAGACTGTGAAGGAAAGGGTATTCAATTTTACCTGAAGATGAGTTTTTTAAAAGCTTTCTAGAAAACGATCCTGAGAACAAAGACTATATATTCTATCGGTTCTTATGTCAGATATATTAATGCAAAGGCATAAACTTAAAACATTTCCCAACCCAAAAAATAGGAAAAGGGCTCTTCCTTCTAATATATTATTTCCTCTACTCTTTTAAATTTTCAGTGTAATTTTTTTCATTAAAAAATAGTAATATTATATAATAATAAAGGGGAAAAACAACTGAATTTTGTTTTCCCTCTGTATTTTCAGCATGGTTTACATTATTTTTAAACAGATCACTGAAAATCTAAAAAGTCAGAATAATTATGAGATATATAGTATATTATATTTGTTGATAATAATCACTGAGTCTAAAGTGACACAGAGCAAAGGGGCATTTAAACTTTTAAATTAAAACTCAACCACCTAAGGGTATAACTATTAAACTTCTGTGTATTAACTTCTAGACTCTATGTACATAGCCACAAATCAATGAGATTCAAAAAATATCACATTCTACTTTTTCACTTAGCACATCATTTTATTAAACATGTTATAAGGTCTTTTATTATCTTCTCCCTGACAAATTCCTAGCATTCAGGTCAGGAGGTCAAAGAGCATAAACACCTGACTTATTTCATTCAATTTATTTCCCCCAAAATTGGGCCCATTTATAAGTCACCAGAAAAGTAAATATCCAGTTTGACCAACCTTTCATAAATTATTTTGCAAACATATCTCCTATATACTAAAATCCACACTCCAGTATAATTCTTCTTTCCCTATATTTAGCCTGGTTAATCCTCTGAAATCTTACCCATTAGGTCTTTCATATTCTATCATTCACAAAAGTATGCATATATAGTAAAGGCCACCTAGTCAAGAATTTCCTAAGAAACTCTCACATCTTTTCAAGTAGTTTTGAATGTAAGTCTCAAGGTGCATTTACAATAATCCTGAGAGAAAAGACAAATATTACTAAGACTGATGAATGAAACTATGTCTGTTTCTTAGGAGACAGAGCTATTACCGAGGAGGACTGAAGACTTACTCTAAGAGCCACTTATCATGCTTGAGCAGAGGAGAGGAAAAAGTTAGGGCCCATATCTCCATTTCTCCTCTCGAACATTTTAACGTTTTTACTTTATAATGATGTTTAATGGAATTTTTGTATTCAATAAAGATAAACATAAAGGATCCATTAAGGAAAGCAAAATACATATTAATATTGACAAACCACAAACAAAATTAACTTAAGCCAAGTTTTAAGTCACTATACTCTTCAGAACACTAGATAGGTTCTCTTCTCCTGCTCTTCCCAACCTGTGTGTGCATTTACTGCTCAAGAATACCAACCAGGGTTTTATAATGCAATAAATTTGTTTTGCCGGAAAACATCTGCAGCTAATAGTAAACCACATTTAAAATGATAATAGACCTGGGGGGAATACCAAACAAATTCTAAAAATAAAAAATGCAGTAACAATTTTTTTTTAGGTTTAGATAGGTTTATACAGAAGATCAGACAACACTGAAGAGGCAGAGCTGGAAGACAGATCAGAAAAAATAAACAAAGCAGCAAAAATGAAGACAGAAAATATGGAGGACGGCTTAAGAGATACAGAAAACAGAATGAGAAATAAATCTGTATTCCAGAAGAAGACAAGAGAGGGAACAAAGACAAGGCAATATCTAAGGAACAGCTGATAATTTTTCAAAACTGGTAAACTGAAGTAGACTGTTAAAGCAACAGCACCCAGTGATCATGATTCTCTACACCCACACTCTTGTGTAGTCCCCTCCCACATCAACTCTGGGCTTGGTTACATGACTTGCTTTGGGATAAATGTTGAGCAAAATGATGAACATAGTCCTGGAAAGTTGTGTGCTGGGGTGAGCCCTAGCAGAATGCTGGTACCATGAGAGCCCAGAATTGCTTGCTGAAGACATATGGCCCAGCCAAAAGGAAACATACACAGTCAGACGCATGAATGAGGCCATCTTTGGCCATCCAGTTCAAGAAGCTCTAAGACTGCAGCCCAAGTGAGACCAGAAGTAAGAGGCAGCTAAGCCAAGTCCGAATTGCTGACCCACAGTATCATGAGCAAATAAAAGCAGTTGTTTTAAACCGTTCACTTTTGGAATGGTTTATAATGCAACAATGTTTAAGTGATTTGTACCTAAAAGTAGGGTGTTGCCATAACATAAACCTAAAATACACAGTATTAGCTTTAGAAGCCAGGAGTGGGTGGAGGCTGGAAAAATGGAAGAAGTCTGTTATAAAACTTGGAAAAATGACAAGCTGTTAGTTAAGTCAGAAAGCAATGCGGTAGTTTTTCTTGAAAATGGAAAACTTACATCACATGGAATGTGTTCTTTGACTACAATGTAATTAAACTAGGATCAGTATCAATAAAGAAACAATTTGAAAATTCAAAAATGTTTGTAAACTAAAAAATTATAAATAACCCATAGGTCAAAAAAGAAATCATAATAAAAAATTCTGAACTGAATAACAAAAATACCACATATCGAAATCTACAAGCCACTGTTAAAAACAGATTTAAAGAAAAATGTATACATTTTAATGCTTATATTAGAAAAGAAAGGCTAAATTAGGCAATAACTCCACAACAAGAAGTTAAAACTATAATACAAAAAAAATCCCAAGGAAATACAAAAAAATTTTCAAAATAACAGAAATTAAGGTAATTTTAAAAGTCTGATAGAAAAGCTCAACAAGGCAAAAGATAAAACAGAATCTTTTTTTTTTTTTTGAGACGGAGTTTCACTCTTGTTACCCAGGCTGGAGTGCAATGGCACGATCTCGGCTCACCGTAACCTCTGCCTCCTGGGTTCAGGCAATTCTCCTGCCTCAGCCTCCTGAGTAGCTGGGATTACAGGCACGCGCCACCATGCCCAGCTAATTTTTTGTATTTTTAGTAGAGACGGGGTTTCACCATGTTGATCAGGATGGTCTCGATTTCTCAACCTCGTGATCCGCCCGCCTCGGCCTCCCAAAGTGCTAAGATTACAGGCTTAGCCACCGCGCCCGGCCGATAAAACAGAATCTTGTCAAGACTGATCAAATTTGAAAAAGAAAGAAGTTGTAAACAATGTCAAGAATAAAGAGACATAGCTACAGACATCAGAAATTACAAAAGAAAAATTATTGACAACTTCACACCAATAACATTACAAATTTAGATACAATACAAAGTTTGTCCAAAAATATTGAAAATGATTCATGAAGAATTTTGTAACTGTTAAAGAAATTAAATGAGTTATAAAAAATCTTCCTACAAACAAAACTGGAGGCCTAGATGACTTTACCAACTCTACCAAATATTTATAAAAAGTCTACCAAAAATAAAAAATGCTAATAAAACTTTGATATCAAACCTAACAAGAACAGAATAAGAAATTGCAGGCTATTTTTACCAATAAACATGAATGTAAACTTCCTTAATCTTTTTTTTTTTTTTTTTTTTTTTTTAGCCAGAGTCTTGGCCAGGATGGAATACAACGGCACGATCTCAGCTCACTGCAACCTCCACCTCCTGGGTTCAAGTGACTCCCCTGCCTCAGCCTCCCAAGTAGCTGGGATTACAGGCACCCACCACAACACCTGGCTGAGTTTTGTATTTTTAGAAGAGGTCGGGTTTTACCACGGTGGCCAGGCTGGTCTCGAACTCCTGACCTCAAATGATCCACCTACCTCAGCCTCCCAAAGTGCTGGGATTACAGGTTCAAGTGAGCCACCAAGCCTGGCAACTTCCTTAATCTTATAAAGGTTATCTGGTAATACAAAAAGAGCTACACTATTCTATTCAGTGGTGAAATAATGAAACAATTTCCTTTGCATATAGCAGTCCTAGTCAGAAATAAAACAAAACTGCAATCATTTGCAGACAATTGTGTAAATATAAAATAATTAACAGAAATTACTAAAACTAATATAAGTCTAGCAAGATTACTGAATAAAGATTAATTGTATTTCTGTCTATATATAAAGTAATAAAATGAAAATAATATTAAAAATATTGCAGAGAATAATAACAAAAATAAAGATGGAGGTCTTCTGAGCTCCCATAGCTCCCAATGCTAGGCACTACACTTTGGCACTAAACAGCTTCAAGACAAGGAATTACATTCCCAATGCCCAGCATGCAATGGTAGGCACACAGTAAAATGTTTGTTTAATGAATGGATAAAATACTTTATAAGCCATTAAAATTAGGTAATGCCAACCAATAAACATAAATACAATATAGCAATTAATTTATTATTATTGGAAGTCAGTGACATATAAGCTAAGAAAATCACTTTTAAAAATCCCCCAAATACAGAAGTGGCATAAGTTTGCAAATATAGTATCCAAAGAAACATTTCCCACAGTAAAGCAAGTAAGAACCAAGTAATTCAAGTAATCACACACAATACCCTCTGTATACTGTGCAACTGATTTCCACATGAAGGAAATGTATAGCTCAATCCATTTCATTAAAAAAGGATTCATTGTCCCGATAATAAAAACGTCATCTCAAGTAGGGCAACTTAAAACTTAATAGTTCTTTAGTGCAATGTGCAATACCTTCTTGTTGTTTTCTGAAGTAGGGCTGAGAATGGTCAGTTCTGGTCTACTTGGTTTAGGCTTTGGAGATTCACAAGAATTAATGAAATTCATGATAAAAGGTTCCAAATGCTGACCTTTCTGTGGTGATAATTTTAAGAAAATAACAAATAAGGATGACTTTTTAGTAAATAATCCATCAAAATTCATCAATATTTAAATATTTATGATTATCATGTTATAGAACACATAAATCAGTTATTCACCTCTTTCATTAGTTTTCCAGGAACAGACTTTATAATTTTCCCTGCAATTGAAAGTAAAACGTTATTTTAGAAGACTCTTCATAATTGCTCATATGAATACTTCACCAGGTAATTTTAAACACAAAATAGCCAACTTAAAACTATAAAAAGTATTTATGATTGACCATTTCATACTCCACAGAAATTTTCAATAAATATGGTATTCTGAAATATTTATAGATATAATAGTTGGAATTTATTTTAAAATAATCCATTGAGATAGGTGGTGGGACAAGAGACAGAAAAGTCAAGTGTTCATAAGTCGAGTGAGAAGTTTATTATACAATTTTGTCTAATTTGTGTTGATTTGAAAATTTCTGTAGGAAACGTTTTCAAAAGATTTTTGGTAGCAGTGAATATATAACAGTATCTAAAGATATGCAAAGGCCAGTCAAAAAAAAAAGTTTTAAGAATTGCCTCAGTTTCTTGAACCAAGATGGCCGATTAGGAGCAGCTCAGGATTGCAGCTTCTAGCCAAAGTGTGGAGGATGAGTGGACGCCGGATTTCCAGACGAATTTTTATTGCCCACAGACCAGGAGATTCCCAGGCAGAGGAGCCCCACAGGTCGCCAGAATGGCTGGTTTGGCCGGCCAGCTGTTTTTACCCAGTGGCGCCACTGTTACAGCCGGTGCGGCTATTTTGCTAGCGCCCTGGCACAGCGGTTCTCCATACAAAATACATGGGTCCAGGTGCCATTTTAGCTGGTGATTGGAGCTCTGGGAAGGCAGACTTACCCATTCATCGGATTAAAAAGGGGACTGAAACAGGGGGCAAGGCCAGCAGATTGCCGGACAAAAGTGTCACAAATCTCAGTGCAGCTATTTCAGCCAGAGCAGTGGGTTCCCACACGGGAAATCACACAGATACCGGCACCTTTTCAACAGGCGACTGGAACACCTGGGAGACAGCTGACTGTTCAACTTAAAAAAAAAAAAAAAAAAAAAAGAGGGCTCTGAAGCACGGAGCCAGGTGATCAGGCTCAGCAGTCTGATCCCCACAAAAAAAACAGCAATCGGAAACGCTCTGGATTGAGAGTTTCACAGCAAGCACAGCTGAACCCGGGATGGTCCAGCTCTGTGGGGGAGAGGCATCTACCATTACCGAGGCAATCCACCATTACGGAGGTAGTTTGCCATTGCTGAGGCAGCCCGTCATTGCCGAGGCAGCCCATCATTAAAGAGAGAGTCCGCCATTATAGAGGTGGGCTGCCACTGCTGGGGCAGTTCTAACTATACCTGTATAAACAGGACTGCAGGGACACAGCAGCTGGGCGGAGCCCACAGCAGCTCAGTAAAGCCTCTGGAGGCAGACAGTGACTAGGCTACCTCCTCGCTGGGCAGGGCAGCCCTGAAAAAAGGCAGCAGCACAACAGAAACTCATAAATAAAGCCCTAACTTCCCAGGACAGAGCAACTGGGGGAAAAAAAGGGAGGCATCTAAGAGTTCTGCTGCAGCAGACCTAAAGGTACCTGCCTAGCAGCTCTGAATGAACAACGGAGCTCACAGCTCAGCACTTGAGCTCCTATAAAGGACAGACTGTCTCCTCAAGCAGTCCCCTGACCCCCATATATACAAAGAGTCACCTCATAAAAGACAGCTCAGACTGACATCTGGCAGGTATACTTCTGGGACAAAGATAGCAGAAGAAGAAACTGGCAGCAACGCTTACTGTTCTGCAGCTACTGCAGGTGACCCCCAGGCAAGCAGGGCCTGGAGTGGACCTCAGCAGTCCTACAGCAGAGGGGCCAGACTGTTAGAAGGAAAACTAAGAAACAGAAAGAAATAACTTCATCATCAACAAACTGGACGTCCACTGAGAGACCCAATCTGAAAGTCAACAAATACAAAGCCGACAGGTGGATAAATCCACAAAGATGGGAAGAAACCAGCACAAAAAGGATGAAAGCACCCGAAACCAGAATGCCTCTACTCCTACAAGGGATCACAACTCCCCACCAGCAAGGGAACAAGGCTAGATGGAGAATGAGTGTGATGAACTGAAAGAATCAGGCTTCAGAAGATGAGTAATAAGAAACTTCTGTGAGCTAAAAGAACATGTTCTAACCCAATGCAAAGAACTAAGAATCTTAAAATAAACAACTTAGGAATATAAGTGAATTAATGGAGCTGAAAAACACAACATGAGAACTTCGCAAAGCATACACAAGTTTCAACAGCCAAATTGACCAAGCAGAAGAAAGGATATCAGAGGTGGAAGATCAACTCAATGAAAAAAACAAGAAGGCAAGATTAGAGAAAAATGGGTAAAAAGGAATGAACAAAGTCTCCAAGAAATACAGGACTATGTGAAAAGACCTAATCTACGTTTGAGAGGTGTACCTGAATGTGATAGAGAAAATGAATCCAAGCTGGAAAATACTCTTCAGGATATTATCCAGGAAAACTTTCACAACCTAGCAATGCAGGCCAATATTCAAGTCCAGGAAATACAGAGACCACCATAAAGATACTCCTCAAGAAGAGCAACCCCAAGGCACATAATCGTCAGATTCACCAGGGTTGAAATGAAGGAGAAAATACTAAGGGCAGCCAGAGAGAAAGGTCGGGTTACCCACAAAGGAAAGCCCATCAGACCCACAGCAGATCTCTCAGCAGAAGCCCTACAAGCCAGAAGAGAGTGAGGGCCAATATTCAACATCCTTAAAGAAAATAACTTTCAATCCAGAATTTCATATCCAGCCAAACTAAGCTTCTTAAGTGAAGTAAAAATAAAATCCTTTGTGAACAAGTAAGTACTCAGATTTCATCACCACCAGGCCTGCTTTATAAGAGCTCCTGAAAGAGGCACTAAACATAGAAAGGAACAACCAGTATTAGCCACTCCAAAAACATACCAAATGGTAAAGTACATCAACGCAACAAAGAAACTGCATCAACTAACAGGCAAAACTGCCAGCTAGCATCAAAATGGCAGGATCAAATTCACACATAACAATATTAACCCTAAACGTAAATGGGCTAAATGCCACAATCAAAAGACACAGACTTGCAAATTGGATAAAAAGCCAAAACCCATCGCTGTGCTGTATCCAGGAAACCCATCTCACATGCAAGGATACACAAAGGCTCAAAATAAAGATATGGAGGAAGATTTACCAAGCAAATGGAGAGCAAAAAAAGCAGAAGTTACAATTCTCATCTCTGATAAAATAGACGTTAAAACAACACAGATCAAAGGAGACAAAGAAAGACATTACATAACGGTAAAAGGATCAATGCAACAAGAAGAGCTAACGATCCTAAATATATACGCACACAATACAGGAGCACCCAGATATATAAGGCAACTTCTTAATGAGTTACAAAGAGACCTAAGATTCACGCACAGTAATAGTGGGAGACTTTAACACCCCATTGTCAATATTAGACAGATCAACGAGACAGAAAATTAACAAGGATATCCAGGACTTGAACTCAGACCTGGATCAAACAAATCTAATAGACATTTACAGAACTCTCCACCCCAAATCCACAGAATATACATTCTTCTCAGCACCACATCACACCTACTCTAAAATTGACCACAGAATTGGAAGTAAATCACTCCTCAGCAAATGCAAAAGAATGGAAATCATAACAGTCTCTCAGACCACAGTGCAATCAAGTTAGAACTCAGAATTGGGAAACTAACTCAGAATCGCACAGCTTCATGGAAACTGAACAACTGGCTCTTGAAGGTTGACTGGATAAACGAAGGCATTAATATAGATTTTCTTTGAAACCAACGAGAACAAAGACACAACATGCCAGAATCTCTGGGACACATTTAAAGCGTCTCTAGGGGAAAATATATAGCAATAAATGCCCACATGAGAAGCAAGGAGAGATCTAAAATTGACACCCTATCATCAGAATTGAAAGATCTAGAGGAGCAAGATAAAAAAAACTCAAAACCTAGCAGAAGACAAGAAATAACTAAGATCAGAGCAGAACTGAAGGAGACAGAGACACAAAAAAAAATTCAAAAAATCAATAAATCCAGGAGCTGGTTTTTCGAAAAGATTAACAAAATAGACCACTAGCCAGATTAATAAAAAAGAAAAGAGAGAAGAATCAAATAGATGCAATAAAAAATGATAAAGGGGATATCACCACAGATTCCACAGAAATACAAACCATCATCATAGATTATCACAAACAACTCTATGCACATAAACTAGTAAACCTGGCAGAAATGGATAAATTCCTGGACACTTGCATCCTCCCAAGCCTAAACCAGGAAGAAGTCGAAACCCTGAATAGACCACTAACAAGCTCTGAAGTTGAGGCAGCAATTAAGAGCCTACCATCCAAAGAAAGCCCAGGTCCAGATGGGTTCACAGCTGAATTCTCCCAGACATACAAAGAGGAGCTGGTACCATTCCTTCTGAAACTATTCCAAATAATCCAAAAAGAGGGAATCCTTTCCAAATCATTTTATGAGACCAACATCATCCTGATACCAAAACCCAGCAGAGACTCAGCAAGAAAAGAAAACTTCAGGCCAATATCGATGATGAACACAGATGTAAAAATCTTCAATAAAATACTGGCAAACCGATGGCAACAGCACATCAAAAAGCTTATCCACCATGATCAAGTAGGATTCATCCTGGGAATGCAAGGCTGGTTCAACATACGCAAGTCTATAAACATAATTCACCACATAAACAGAACCAAAGACAAAAACCACATGATTATTTCAGTTGATGCAAAGAAGGCCTTTGACAAAATTCAACAGCCCTATATGCTAAAAACTCTCAATAAACTAGGTATTGACAGAACATATCTCAAAATAGTAAAAGCTATTCACAACAAACCAACAGCCATTATCATACTGAATGGGCAAAAACTGGAAGCATTCCCTTTGAAATCTGGCACTAAACAAGGATGCTCTCTCTCACCACTCCTATTCAATAAATTATTGGAATTTGTAGCCAGAGTAATCAGGCAAGAAAAAGAAATAGAGGGTATTCAAATAGAAAAGGAGGAAGTCAAATTG